CAAAATACTTTAGACATTTTCGGCCTTTGGAACAGAGTATGTTACTAAAAGGCCCAAGGACACTGTGAGTTTTAGCTAAGAAACTGGCTAATTTTGGGGGGATCTTTTTTCCCTACCTGCCTAGCCAATTCCTACCTCCTATTCTGATCACACCATTCTCTGAATAGGTTACCCAAACTGTAAATAGGGAATTGGAACAGAGACTGCTCTGGTTTCTTCCAAGCTGGTCAGTGAGGCAGGGTTAGGCAATCGGAGCACCCCTTCAGTGGATCTATCTAAAATACTCCAACATTTCATACTTCTTATCTCTAAGAGGAAAAGCCAGTCCTTGACTGGTGAATAGGAGATGTGAAGAAGTAGAATTACAAGTTCTAGACAGGGAACTAGAAAAAAGTCAGAACAGGGCAGTTTTTATATGTTCATATGAGAATCCATTGGAAGGCTTTTTGATAAGGGCTTCCAAAAGCAACCCTCTATTTATTCCTCCTCATTTTTCTTTTGTCTTCCAAAGCTGGACTCTAGAGTGATGGATTCAGGATTTGCTTTCAGGTATTTTAATAGCTGTTAGAGTCGTTAGAATCAGTGTCAATTCCCTCTCAAAGGCTTCAAGGTAAAATAAATTTTAAAAACATTTTTAAAAAGTCACTCCGATCAAAAGCAGAATTCAATATTCAGCACTGAGTGTACTCTTGAGCACATATTTTGATTTTTGAGAAGTGTTGACTTTGGTGGAATTTGAATTTCTGTACATGGAATTTTGTTTTATTTAACCCTTTGATAGAAAAGGCAATACATTGCTTTTACATTTCCCACAATCCCCCTAAGAAAACTTCTGCAGATCAGGAGTAACAGTTTCCCCTCTTTCTGCCTCAACTCGTGTCCTTTGCCTTGCCTGGTGGAGTCTCTGCAACATTACACACACAAAGGATTCCCTGAGCCATTCACACAGCCGGTGTCCATCTCAGAACAGGGCCTTCTAAGACCATGTACAAGAAGGATGGAGGTGGCTGGGGTAGATTCTAACCAAGCAAGAAGTTGTCATGGGAGAGTCATGAGCTCTCAGGTTGGCTCTGCCCACTCTGTTCCCCTGGGGGGCATCCTTCTTGCCGTGGGCTCCTCATTGCCATGGCTTTCCACTCTCCACTCTCATCGCTGCATCTGAAGCCTCCCTCCTATATCTGCCTGTCACCTGCTGAATAACAGCCCCAAGATGCTCATAGTCTAATCCCCATGGTGTGTGACCTCATGTGGCAGAAGGGACCTTATGGTGGTGATTAAACCAAGGACCTTGACCCTTGACATGAAGATTATCTCGGGTTATGGAGCCCATTGTCATCACTGGTCCCCTATAGAGCTGGCCATGAGGCTCAGAGCCAGGAAAGGAGAGGTGATAACAGAAGTGGAGGCCAGAGTGGGAGACGTAAAGATGCTGAGATGGAATCTGCACAGGTGCCCACTCTGCCTGCACTTCGATTCCAGAACTACAGTGTAATGAGGTGTGTTGTTCTCAGCCATGAGCTTGGTGGTCATTTGTTACATTTTATTTCTTTGTGTGTGTGTGTGTGTGTGTGTGTGTGTGTTCAGATCCACTATGTGAGACAGGGTGGGTGTGGAGGTCAGAGGACAACTTTCAGAAGTCAATTCTCTCCTATATTGTGAGTCCAGGGGATCAAACTCAGGTTGTCAGGCTTGCCAGCAACCTCTTAACCCACTGAGCCATCTGACCAGCCTATTTGATGGTAATTTGTTACAGCAGCTGTAGAGGGTGAGGGGAGTCCAGAACGATGGACACATCGTCCATCCATAACCCCACCCTGGCCATGTCACACCCAGCACCATACAGATGCCAGCCATTCACAGTCAGTAGTAGATGCTCAGGCCACTGAGCATACATACTAACTGCTGAGAACCAGGCTTTGACTTCCCAGAGCTCAGAAGCCCCTGGGCATCTCTCTGCTCTCTGTCAGAAAACCTTGTGTCTGCTGCTACCAACAGCACAGAGTTGCCCCCTTGTGTCCCACCACCCTGAGTTCCTAGAAGCTGCCTGGTTCTGCACAATGGAACAACATCTAGCCATCAAGAGCACTTAATGCCATCCCACTGCAGAGCCAGCTGCAAAGCTCTGCTTCTCCTTTCCTGATCATAAAATCAATGCATGGTGACTTAAGCAGGAAGGTGGAAAGCCACAGCCTTTCCAGAAGCCACTCCCACTCAAGTTCTCTGTAATTCCAGATCCTTGTGGGGAAACCATTGTGTACATGTCTTCTCTCTTCTTGATACAGTCAGGTCGGAATGTGCACACAGTGGCCCCCCTCATCTGTGATTTCAGTTGCCCGTGGTCAAAAGTAATCTAAAAATATTAAAGGGAAAATTCCAGAAATAATGTCTTAAATGTGTGGGAAAACTTCACACTGTCTCTGTCATACCTGGGATTCAAATTCTCCAGCATGCCCGTGCTGCATCCATTACCCTGCCATTCATCAAATTCACTGCCACAGAACCCAGTGCCTCTGTTCAAGTCACCTTCATGCAGCAAAGCACAAGAGCAGTGGCCCTGCCCAAGCGGGATATGCCAAAGAGAACCCTGAAGTTCTTTCCCTGAAAAGGTTCTCCACTGCCAGGCACGGCAGGGACACCTTTAATCTTAACACTCGGGAGGCAGAGGCAAACAGATAGAGTAAGTTCTAGGAAGTTCTGAACTTAGTAAGACAAAATCATCTCAGGTTGCCAAGGTCTATGGTAAAAGCAAATCTGTGAAAATTGTGAAGAAGGAATTCAAGTGACTTTTGCTGTTGCCACAGGATGTGGTCAGTCCTCAGGCATTATATAAAAGGAATTACATTGTGTAGGGGAGAAGTGATTGATAGACACGTTGTCACAGAAAGCACTGGACCAATGGGAAGACTCCAGCCAAGGGTCCTGAGGACAGTGGCGCTCAGCCATGTACTGCAAGTGAGGCTGGGTAAAGTGTTCCCATAACCTGTTACGGTGAGTTTATTGTTAAGCCAGACCAGGCATCGCTATTGCAACATTACTACTTTGCACTTTGCAATGAAAATGTGTCTTGTGGGGACACTGAAACTGTTTCTTCATCAAGCTTTGCCCATAGCCTTGGAACTGTTGGTGATTCCTCCCAGAACACTTATCAGAGTAGATGTCCATTAGGGACTTCCTAATTTATCCCGGCACACTGACCAGCTAGAGTTTGGCAAGTGTGTGAGTCAGCTTTCCCTCACTCTGAAAAATATCCACAATGGCCAGCTTATGAAGAGAGTTTACTTTAGCTCACAGTTCTGGAGGTGCCAGTGCATGGCCCACTGATGCCATTGCTTTGGCCCTGTGATGGCGTCTTAATAGAGAGGACTTGGTGGATCATAATTACTCATCTTATGGTTGAGAAGTACAAAAAAAGAAAAGGAAGGGGTGAAGGAGTAGCTTAGTGATAGAGCATTCACCTCACAAGCACAAGACCCTGGGATTCATCCCAAGTGCCGACAAAAGGGAAAGACACTGGGGGACTAGTTGGTAGAGTGTGCTTTCCTAATATGGACAAGGCCCTGGGTTTGATGCCCAGCAACACATGAACCAGGCATAGCAGCACATGTCCTTAATCCCAGCATCTACACAGTGGAGACCGGAGAAGCAGAAGCAACATGAGATCTTATCTCAAAGGAACAGAGTGGGAAGAGGTGGGAAGGAGGGAAGGAGAGAGAGAGAAGTTGGAAAAGGAGAGGGGGTAGGACGATCCCCAGTGGCCAAGTACCTCCCACTAGGCCCCACCTCATGAAGGTCTCACCACCTCCCAGTGCCTCTGACACATGGGCATTTCAGAGACAGTCTGGACCCAAACTACAGCAATGGCTAGCAAAGTCCTGTCATACTTTAATTTGCTCGCCTCTAGTTTCAATGGGGTCAATAATATTTTGTGTCATACTTAGAAACAGTCCCTGTTCACATTAGTCCTATGAGGTAGGAATCTAGAGTTGCCTTTGGCCAGTGGCTGCTCTGTCATCCCAGAGGGGCTCTGCTCACCACAGCTCTGAGCTGCCCTTGGTTGTGTACATCTGTGTCTGTCACTAGGTTTCTTGCCTGAGCCAAGTGTTGTGCCCCCCGAGCTCCATCCATACTCTGAGGCCTGCCTGCCGTGTGTTTGTTTCTCAGAGTGATTTTAGCACCAAATCGTTTCACTCTGTAGAGATCTGAGGGTATTTTTTTATTGGAATTGTTTGATTTACAAATTAATTCAATTCTCCCTCCCAATTAATTACAATTCTCCCTCTCAAGGGAGACCTGGTCTATTTATTTAGTCAAGTCATCCTAAGGACAGAGGATTCTCTCCATCTGTCCAGCCCACTCCCCATGCCTTCACACAGGCGGCACACTCTTCCCACATGGCTTTTACATGTTCCTTCCTGTGAGTCTGTCACTGCTGTGAGGGGGTTCTCTCCACTTTACACCCCTGACTGGCTACTGTGGACCATATGAGAACTACTGATTTTCTCTCAAACCAACCTTCCTTCCTTCTTCCCTCCCTCCCTCCCTTTTTTATTTATTTTCCTCTTTTTTTTTTTTTTTTGGTCTTTTTGAGACAGTGTCTCCCCGTAGCCCCAGCTGTCCTGGAACCCACTATGTAGACCAGGCTGGCCTTGAACTCACAGAGCTTCGCCTGCCTCTGCCTTCCGAGTGCTGAGATTAAAGGCGTGCGCCACCACACCTGGCTCTTTCTTTCTTTCTTTTCCTTATGGTCCTAGGGATTAAACCTAGGGCTTTGTGATGTTAAGCAAGTGCTCTACCACTGAACAATATCCCAAAATATACCCATTTTTTTGGATGTATAGTCTGAATATGTAGCCCTGGCTGGCCTGGAATTTGCTGTGTGCTGTGTAGACTAGGCTGGCCTCAAACTCAGAGATATCCACCTGCCTCTACCTCCCAAATTCAGAATTAAAGACAAGTGCTATCACACCAAGCCCAAGATATCTTTTTTTTAAGATTTTATTTTTATGGGTATGAGTGTGTTGCCTGCATGTATGTAAATGTACCCATGTCATGCAATGCCGTGGAGGTCAGAAGAGAGCTTTGGATTCCCCTGGAACTGGAGTTAAGGACGGTTCGTAGCTACCATGTGGGTGCTGGGAATCGAACCCAGGTCTTCTGCAAGAGCAGTCAGTGCTCTTAACCGCTGAGCCATCTCTCCAGCCCCCCCCAAAATACTTTTTAACAACATGCTGAGATTGTATGACAGGAATTGATATACTAAGAAATAGGGATTCCGCTGTAAAAAATACCTTAAGAAGTGGGAGTGGGTGGAAGAATTTTGAGGTGCATGCTAGAAAAAAATCCTACCTTGTCATGAGCAGGCAGTTCTAGTAAGAGCTTAGAAAGAAGACAGGAGGGAGCTGGGGTGTGACTTAGTGGTAGGGTACTTGTTTAGTATGTCCAAAGCCCTGGGTTTCACGTGTAGGACCCCCAAAAAGGAAGAAGGCAGAGAGGAGGGGTGAGAAGTATTATAGAGAAAGCCAAAAACTCTTTAGAAAACTCCCAAATGCTTGTGGACAGAATGTTGGCAAAAATATGGACAATAAATGAGTAAATGTTACTGGAAAGATGGGTGGCCCTGGTTATAAAGCGGCAGAGCACTGAGCTGAGCAAGGTTTGGGTTTTATGGTCTGTGGAGTATGGAACTGTGAATGTTGGGAACTGGGCTCTTTTCAGAATCCCTTGTCATCTATTTATGGTGTTAATAACTGTCCTACAAGTCTGTTACCCTAATGGGGGAAAACAACAGAACTGTGGGGGTCCTAGGCAGGAAGCCACCGCCCCCATCGCCTCCCTCCCACTGCTCCATCTCTGTTCTCACCCCTCGTCCTGCAGGTACCACATGGATGCAGCAAGTCCTGAGTCTCATCTTCTGTGAGGGCCATTTATGGCCTATCCACCACCTCCCCAATTGGGCTCGCATGCCTTGGATGGAGCAAACCTCCTTCAGCAGTCTCCTCCCCCAGCTCAACACCTCCTGGCCTCGGCTGCTTACCTCCCACTTGTATGCCAAGGTCCTGGCCCCGGCTCTGATGAAGTCCAAGCCCAAGGTAGGGGACAAGCCCTGTCTTGCTCTTAAGCATTTCAGAATCAGAGTCAGCTACAGTCAGGCTTGGGACAGAGTGTTTGGGGGATGGGGACAAAGGGGTCTCAAGGGACTGGCTTCACCTTCAAGTCCTGGGAAGAAAGACATGGAGTGTAGGTGGGCAGAAATCCCAGAAACAGCAGACCTAGGCTAGAGTTGAGACATTGTCTACATAGCGGGAAGCCTCTGCGGCCAATAGTGCAGCCAAGCCAGAACAAGGAAGTCCAGTGAGTCAGGCAGGTCAGTCCATTGCCCAGGAGATGTGAAAACCAGAGTCCCCCATCTTAACCTGGTGGCCAACTCTGGGGAAGAGAGATTCCTTTATACCTAGGAGGGGAGGAACTGAAGAAATCCAAATACACCTTGCAGAGAGATAGGTCCACACCACCCTCCCCAGAAGTGTCCAAGCTACCAAGAGATGGGTGAAACTTGGACAGGCAAGGCCCACTCACTCATCCTGTTTTCTGATGATTGGCATGGGCTTCCTGGGACCTGGAGGAATGAATGATAATGACCTTTTTTCTGGGGCTTGGCCTGGCCTTCCTGTCCCAGGAGCTCAGAACAGAGCCTTTGCTTGCTGCTTTTTAAACCTGCTCCTGTAGGGATGGGAAGTTGATTCCGCAGCTAAAGGCACTTGCCACCAGGCCTGATGACCCAAGTTCAATCCCTGGAGCCCACAGGTTGTCTTCTGACCTCCACATGTGCACCATGGTACATGTGCCCTCCTCACAATAAATAAAATAATTTTTATTTTTTTAAGTATTTTATTATTTTTTATTTATTTTGTGTGTATGAGTGTATTGCCTGCATATATGTAAGTGCACCCGTGTCGTGCAGTGCCCACAGAGGTCAGAAGAGGATGTTGGAACCTCTGGAACTGGAATTACAGACAATTGTTAACCACCATGTGGGTGCCGGGATTCGAACCTGGGTCTTCTGCAAGAACAGCCAGTGTTCTTAACTGCTAAGCCATCTCTCCAACCCCATAAATTATTTTTTTTTAATCTTTTTGAGACAGGGTCTCCCTGGAGCCCAGCTGGCCTTAAACTCACAGAGATCTGCCTGCCTCTCCCTCCTGAGTGCAGGGACTAAAGGCATGTGCCACCACGCCCGGCCCCATAAATTAATTTTTAAAATGTGAAAAACAACAACAACAAAAAAACCAACCCTGTACTCACAGGAGGCATCTATTTACCAATCTTACAGGACTGTGCTTCCTGCTGCTCAGTGAGCCAGGTCTGGACCATGCCTGGCACCCACCTCACCGTTACAGTGTTTGGGGGCCCCAGCCACCATTGGGCTATCTTTCCCACCATCCCTCCTAGACAGGAGTTGGGGTCCAGGGTTCAGTTACTGTGGATCAGAGCAGCTGGGGAAAGCCCTGAACTTCAGAGCGCTGGGATTCAGGACTCTGTCCACCAGGTGGTGTACATGGCACGGAACCCCAAGGATGTGCTGGTTTCTTTCTACCACTTCCACCGAATAGCCGGCTTCCTGCCCAACCCCAGCTCTTTTGAGGACTTTGTGGATGAGTTTCTCGAGGGCACAGGTAGGTCTCAGGGACTGAGCTGTCTCTTGCCCCCCGCACCTTCTTGTCACCTGGCTGGTGGGCAGTTTCCTTGTTCCAGCCAACCCTGAGGTCACTGCTACTCCTGAGCCCCAGCGCATGCAGCTGTCACTCTGACACCTTCCCTTCTCTTCCTTCCCTAGGCTTCTTTGGCTCCTGGTTTGACCATGTGAAGGGGTGGCTGGGCCTCCAGAAAGACCTGGATTTGCTTTTTGTCACCTATGAGGAGCTGCACAAGGTGAGCACCCCTTCCACACAGTTCACAGGCCACCTGTAGCCAAGTCCTCCTCTGTCGAAGGCCTGTGGCACTCACTCCTCTCTTCTCAAGCACTCTGTGAACCTCATTTTGATAGAACAGGGCAGTGGAGAATCTCTGACTTCTGATTCAGACATAGCCTGACAGAAAAAGCCTCTGGCTTTCCAAAGGTAACAACAGTATGAGATTTTTTTCACAGGAAATTCAAGAAGTTTTTAATGTACCTTTTACAATTTAATACTGGGGGACTGGGAGATAGCTAAGTTGGTGAAGTGCTCCATGTACATGCATGAAGAACTAAGTCTGATTCCCAGAACCCACATATAAAAGCCAGCTTTAGTGGCAAATGCTTGTAATCCCAGTGATTGGGGAGGCAGATACAAGCAGATCCCTGTGGCTCCCTGGCCAGACAGCCTAGCCTATTGTTTAACTTCCAGGCCAGTGAAAGACCCTGTCTCAAAAACAAGGTGGACTCCTCCTAAGGAATGACACCCAAGGTTGTCCTCTGATCTGCACATGCACATGCAGATGTAACACACACATACCCCTAAATACATAATCACACAACTAAGGCATTTTTAGGGGCCAGTTAGATGGCTCAGCAGATAAAGATGCTTGTTGCCAAGTCTAATGACCTTATTTTGGTTCTTAGAACACACCGTGGACGTAGAGAACAGACTCCTGCAAGGATATGCTGACCTCCACACATGCCTTAAGTTAATCATTCAGACTATTAATTTTATTGTTTCGTTTACTCATCAAAGGAATTTTTGATTCACATTTGATGCCATGTGCAAATTGAGATAAGCTCCCATAAGCATTTCTATTGCGTTGATACAGTCCGTCTATCTGCTCCCCTCTCAGCTCCTGTGCTTTCTGACAGAACAGACAGGGCTTCCGATTACTCAGCCCACCCTGGCTCAGCCAGCAAATTCTACGCGTGATGCTGGAGAACCTGGAGTTCTCTGAGCTGTTCCAATATTATGTGTAAACAGCAGGATTCTAGCTTAGAATAACAAGAAGAAATCCAGTTCTTAGCAGGATGTCTTAATTACATGCACAAGGCTGACCTTTCAGATGTCTGCAGCTCTGGTCCCAGGCACTAAGGCCACATGTGCTTAGGGATCTATGGAGATCCGGGATCTGATGGGTCTTAGGGACTGCACACTCCCAGCACAAAATGCCTGTTTGACCTCAAGATATTAAAACAAGATCATGAATAGATTCACATCAGTGGAGGTTTGGGTGTTTCTAACAAAATGAGTTTTAGTACAAAAACTAAAATGCAATTCTGAAGATTTTGGATTTGGGAATAGTATTGGGATCTTTGGCTTTTTGGCTAAATTTTGTGAAAATATGAGGTCTCTGAATGCCAAATGGATCGTGTCTTGAAAGCAAACAAAATAATCCACGCTGGGGGTTTCACTCTTCAGGATTTTCATACTCAGTGTTCAGTCCTTGGCAATTGGTGGTATGGACCTGATTGGATGTGGCTCAGCTGTGGCATGTGGTAGAGCTGAGACCAGACACCCTGGCGTCCCCTCCTGTGTCTCTAGGCTTTAATTTTTATGTCCCTCTCACATCAGGCTTTACTAGGGAAGCGTTTTTCTGGTCTGTGTTCCCGGAACCTACAGTGCCAGGCAAATGATGAGCCCTCAGAATGTTACTAACCGAATGAAAAGCAGATGCTCACTTGGTCATGACCAGCCAGGTGATGCCAGAGTCTCCTCCCCAGAGGCTGAGTTGTCCCACCCAGGCTCTGGCTGGCAAGTCAGGATGATTCTGAAGACTATACCACCATCCATAACAATACCATAGCTTTAGGCTTCAAGAAGGGTTGGTTCTGTAGCTCCTGGGACATTTACTGCTGTACTGAGAACTTTGACCCCATCAACTAATTAGGTTTGTTTCTCTTTGGTTCCTAAGATCAATCTATCAATCTCTACACCCATCAGCTATCATCTATCTATAGCCAACTATAAATTCACCCATCTGACTAGGCAAGCTGGCACATCCCTGAAACCCCAGCACTTGGGAAAAAGAGGCAGGAGGCCCACCCATCAGTTTGAAGCCAGTCTGATAGGACCTTCTTTCCTTGTTTAAAAAAAAAGTTTTATATTTTATTTATTTTTTTTAATTTTATGTGTATGCATGTATTGCCTGCATGTATGTAAATGCACCCATGTCGTGCAGTGCCCTCGGAGAACAGAAGAGACTGTTGGATCCCCTGGAACTGGAGCTATGGACAGTTGTTAGCTGCCATATAGGTGCTAGGATTCAAACCCCAGTCTTCTGGAAGAACAGTCAGTGTTCTTAACTGCTGAGCCATCTCTCCAGCCCCCTGGTTAAAAAATTTTATGGGACTGGATAGAAAAGTCAGTGGTTAAGAGCACTGGCTACTCTTGCAAGAAACCAAGTTCAGTTCCCACCCACTACATGCTGGCTAACAACTGTCTGTAACTCCAGTTCCAGGAAATCTGTCATCCTTTTCTGGCTGTGTAAGCAGTGTATGCACATGGTGCACTTACATACATGCAGGCAAAATACTCATACACATAAAATAAAAATAAATTTAGGGCTGGAGAAATGTCTCAGCAGTTAAAAGCACTGGCTGTTCTTGCAGAGGACTGAGGTTCAGTTCCCAGCACCCACATGGCAGCCACCATCTGTAACTCCAGTTCCAGGGGATCCGATGCCCTCTTCTGGCCTTGACAGGTACCTGCACAAATGTGTACATGCAGAGACACATACACCATAAAAATAAAAATAAATCTTAAAAATTTCACTTATCTGCTCACCATCCTTCCAGCATCCATCCAATCCACCCGTTCATCTACTGTCAGTTACGTATCTATTCATCTATCCATTTATCTGCCTATCCATCATCCATCAGTCTAGTTTTTTTTTCCTATTTTTACAAAGTCCAGATTATATTACAAGTAAAATGTTTTACAAATTGGACTTAGGACATTTCAGTGCATATATTTTCCTATGCATTCATTCTTTTTTAAAAAACTTTAAAAAAAATTTTTTTTTGGTCTTTTTGAGACAGGGTCTCCCTGTAGCTCCAGCTGTCCTGGAACTCACTATGTAGACCAGGCTGGCCTTGAACTCACAGAGATCCTCTTGCCTCTGCCTCCTGAGTGCTGGGATAAAAGGCGTGCGCCACCACGCCCAGCTCAACTTTAAAATTTTTATTACATTTATTTGTGTATGCACACACGTATGTGTGGGGCAAGCATGTGTGTGTGCGCGTGTGTGTGTGTGCATGTATTCACATGCCACAGTGCACCTGTGGAGGTTGAAGGACAACTTGCAGGAGTCCATTCTCTCCTTCCACCATTTGGGCCCTGGGTATCAAACTTAGGTCATCAGGCTTGGTGGCAGGTGCCTCTACCCACTAAGCCATCTCATCAGCCCTTCTTATGCATTTTTTTTAGATTTAAAAATTTTTAATTTTTAAAAAATTTTAAGGCCAGTCTTGGTGGCACACACCTTTAATCCCAGCACTCGGGAGGCAGAGGCAGGTGGATCTCTGTGAGTTCAAGGCCAGCCTGGTCTACATAGTGAGTTCCAGGACAGCTGGGGCTACAGGAGACCCTGTCTCAAAAAATACCAAAATAAAAAAAGTCAAAAACAAAAACATTTATGTGTATGAGTGTTTTGCCTGCATGTATATGTGTATCACTGTTGTGCAATGCCCACAGAGGCCAGAAGAGGGTGTCAGATTTCCTGAAACTGAAGTTTCAGACAGCTGCCATGTGGATGCTGAGAACCAAACCCAGGTCCTCTGGAAGAACAGCCAGTACTCTTAACCACTGAACCATCTCTCCAGCCCTTTTTTTAGATTTTTAATTATGTGTATATGTGTGGGGGTTACGTACACATGAATGCAGGTGGCCATAGAGGCCAGAGGTATTAGATCCCCTGAAGTTGGATTTACAGGCAGCTGTGAACTCCATGATGTGTGTGGGTCCTGGAAACCAAAGTCAGGACCTCTGCAAGAGCAGTATGACCTGTTAACTGCTCAGCCATCTCTCCAGCCCCTGCTTGTTTTATTTTTAATGTTTAAATATGTATTGCAAATACATATCCATTTCTCTGGGTCTTTCTGGATCCAGGAACCTCGCTTCACCATCCAGAAGCTAAGTGAGTTCCTGGGGCACCCTCTGGGACCAGAAGAGGAGGACGTCATACTAGAGCACTGCAGCTTCTCCTTCATGAGCCAGAGCAATATGGTCAACTACAGCCTTCTGTCCAAGGAGATCATAGACCACAGCCAGGGCAAGTTCCTGCGGAAAGGTATGGGTCTTCCTCCTGGCATCCATTCAAACTCCCAGGGCCCCTCTTGGAGCAGATCAACCCTTGTTGTAGATATGGTTACAGCCCCCTAGTCTGCTTGTCTACTTGCATTCAACACCTTCCTCTCTCATCTTCCTCATCTCCATAGTGACGTGAGTGTGATGCTTTCCTTACTAAAGGCATCAACACAGTTTTGTCACAGAACAAAAATACTCAAAGCTTACAGAGGACAGTCCCAGCCCTGTGGCATTCTCCCCTGGTGGTGCCATCATGAAGGGCTCCCATCAGCTCCAGGCTACAGCTCTAAAACCTTTCCTCCTGGAGTCCACAAGCCCCACTTTGCAATCACCTGTAAGAGAGTGCCTCAACTCTATCTCTTCCAATTGCTCCATTGGAAAGCGCCTTCACCATTATCGTGGGAAGCAGGCTAGCACTGCCAGAGTGCAGCCCTCCCTACCACAAATTGTGAAGGATGCACAGAACCCTCACCATCCCAAAGGTTCTAGAGCTTCCCTGCTATGCATGTCATAAAACTAACATAGCAGCCAGATATGGTAGCTCATGTCTATAATCCCAGTACTTGGGAGGCTGAGGCAGAAGTATCATCACAAGTTTGAGGTCAGCCTGGGCTACATAGTGAGTTTGGCTCCAGGTAGATGGGTTGTAGCCAGGGTCTTTGTCTACCTGAGTGTCTGTGGAATGCTTGGACACTGTGTGAGGCTGCCTAAGCCAGACATATCTGGTCACATCACTGTGGCAACTAAAACATGCCTTGCTACTGTCCCTGAAGAAATCCCTGGCATACCAGGACCGCTGTCCCGTGTGTGGATCAGGCCGTCTTTCACAGCAGTTGGAACAGTGGGAGCTGTCCTCAAAGCCTGCAGCAAGTCAATTTCTCAGGACAGGTCCTAGGGGCCATGGACCCAGGCACCGGCCCCATCCTCCATTCTTCTTCTGGAGCCCAATGTGGCTTCCTGCCTCTTTCATGCCTGTGGCTCCCGTATCCCACAGTCTCTGGCTGCATCAGTCCGGGCTCTGACCACATATCGTATTTATTTATTTATTATTTTATTTATTTACTTTTATTTATTTATTTAGTTAGTTAGTTATTTAATTTATTTTTGGTCTTTTAGAGACAGGGTCTCCCTGGAGTCCCAGCTGGCCTGAAGCTATGTAGACCAGGCTAGCCTTGAACTCATAGAGATCTGCCTGCCTCTGCCTCCTGAGTGCTGGGATTAAAGGCATGCACCACCACACCTGGCTCTTGAATATTCTCTTTTTAAAAAAATTTTTTTATTTTTAGTATATAAGTATTCTGCCTGCGTGTAAGTGCACCTATACCTGCTTTGCCTGCAGAGGCCAGAAGAGGCCATCTGACCCTCTGGAACTGGTGTTATGGATGGTTGCCATAGCTGCCTATGTGGGTGCTGGGAACCGAACCTAGGTCCTCTGCAAGAGCAGCCAGTTCTCTTAACCACTGAGCCATCCCTCCAGCTCTGCCATACTCTCTTTCTGAGGACACCAGCCACTGGATTAGGCCACCCTTGTGACTTCTTAACCTATTGCCAAATAAATTCATGTTCTAGGTACCAGGTACACTCAGCCACTTTCTGAATACAGATCAGTGTGCGGTAATAGGGAGACAGTTGCCAGTTTCCTTCCCAGAGGCTCCCAGAGGCTGTAGTGTATTATTGATGTCTGTTTTCCCTAGCCAGACTCCCTCCATTTGTCTTCCTTCCCCCAGGTGTTGTAGGGAACTGGAGGGAGCATTTCACTCCTGACCTAAACAAGAAGTTCAATGCTGTCTACGAGGCCAAGATGGGTGACTCTGGCCTCTGCCTCCCCTGGACCATGGACTGATGCCTCCTGACCCATTCAGCTTATGGGACTGACCTCCCAACCTTGGCTGTGCTGTGCCCATGGTTTAGCAATAAAAGCCTAGCTTTCTATATGCAGACTCTCCACTCCAGCCTATACCTGTGCACTCCAATGCCCTTCGCCTTGGGACTTGAGGGAGAACTAAGACCTCCCCCTAGATCTCTTTGCTGTCTGGCTCTCTGCTAGGCTGCAGTCACAAAACTCTTTCTTCAGGACCCCAAATACAACTTCCCTAGACTTCACTCAGGCATCATTCATCTACCATGGCCAAGGCAAAGATGTAGGAAAGAGGGAGGGGGCTGTGGAATTCACTGGGGGACCAAGTCCAGCCTAGGGAAGCTGAAGTGAGGACTGAAAGTGAACACCAACCAAAACAAGTAATGGGAAAGATCTCCACTCACTCACTGAGAATCCCAGAGTATGTGGGCTGCCTACCCAGATGGCCACCATCCCAGCCACATGTCCAAGGTAGAAAGCCACTGCTCTAGGAAGAAGGGCCAACAGTACTAGACACCGCTGGACCCCACTAAGTGGAGCCAGCAATGTTCCTTTCAGTCTTCCCCATGCCTGTGTGCTACATCTACCTGCATTCCACATGGCACTGGCAACAATATGGGAGGGAGCTAGTCTGACATATAAAGTGCCTTCATCCAAGCAGCTGATGCCAATACAGTTGATTCAGAGCTTGGTCCTGTTTTCATTCATAGCCAGCTCCACCTGCAGTCTGCCCATGTGTGGAAATGAGCTCAGCCCCCTGGATTCCGGGCCTTGGTCCAGCTATCAGGGAGGGCCCCTGGGTTTTCAGGACAGAGCAGTGTGATGATGTTCCCTTCCCACTACAGGGTCACAGCTCAGCCTGGAGGAGCCATGAGAGTGCATGAGACTCAGGAATCTGCAAGGTCTAGGTGCACAGCTGGCAGCTACACCCCTCTGCCTGTCCCAGAATGGAACTCTGAGGCTCGCAGATGCCAAGACTCTCCACTCTGGCCACTGTGGCATGTGTGCCCAGTGATCAGTACCAGCCATAGCCCACAAGCAGGGACATGCCAGGTCTGAGGCAGGATGCTTGAGTAAGATGACTGACCAATTGCCCTCTCAGTCTGAATGCCCAAAGCCATACCTGCCTCAGACCACCTGGGGCATGAAGGAGGGCATCCTGGAAATGAAACACAGAAGCAAGAAAAGGCAACCTGAGGGCTAGGGAGGCAAACCCTGTTTCTGATTACTTGGGCAAAAATTTAGATCCATCCAAGAGGCCAGAATGACCACACTCCAGTGTCTGCGGGTAAGAAAAGCCTGAGAGTTGGGGCATCAAGGCATCTATGGTGGGCCCTGCCTGTAGAGGAAACAGGCTGTCTTGCACTGGGGACTGAACCTAGGACATCATATATGCTAAGCAAGAGCTCTACAACTAAGCTTCATCCCCAGCCCTCTTTTTTGTTTTGTTATGTTGTTTTTTCGAGATAGAATCTCCCTGTAGTCCCAACTGGCCTAGAACTCTATGTAGACTAAGCTGGCCTCCGTCTTATAGAGATCCACCTGCCTCTGCCTCTTGAGTGCTGGGATTAAAAGTGTGTACCACCATGCCCAGATTCCCAACCCCCTTTTGTTTTATATTGTTTTGAGATAGAGTCGCACTCTGTAGTTTAAGTTGGTCTGGAACTCACTATGTATCCTAGGCTAGCCTCAAAGTCATGGCAATCCTCCTGCCTCAACCTTCCAAGTGCTGGAATTACGGGGATGAGCCACTATCCTTGGTTTAAGGCTGATCTGTCTGTCTGGTTGTAATTTTCATGACTGAAAAACAGGGATCTCAGATAATGCAACAACAACAAAAAACCTTGCGTGGTGGCGCACGCCTTTAACCTCAGCAATCAGGCAGAGGCAGGAGGATCTCTGTGGGTTGAAACTCATCTGGGGCTACAGAGAGACTCTGTCTCAAAAAGACAAAAAAAAAAGTCCATAGAATTGAACATCAACATACATATGTGTCTCCTGCCAGACCAGGACAGAATATTTCTCTCATCCTGTGACTCTCTCATGCTCCCACTGTTTTTACCTCCTATCCTAGAACTTCACATAACCAGAATCCCACAGTGTAGCTCCCCTACCTCCTGATCTGCCTGGTACACCCTGCATGTCACATCCTACAGAGCCCATTGTGTGCGCGTGCGTGCGTGTGTGTGTGTGTGTATATGTGCATTGTTTGTATATACATATGGAAAGATTGACATGGGTGTCTTCCTCAATCATGCTTCCCCTTTTTTTTTTTTTTTTTGGTTTATTGAGACAGAGTCTTCCTGTAGCCCCAGCTGGCCTCAATCTCAGACATCCACCTGCATCTATCTACCTTCTGAGTGCTGGGATTAAAGTCATGTGCCACTATACCTGGCTCACCTTTTTATTTTAAAGGTAAACTTTAAATTATTTTAAAATTTTATTTCTTTTTTTATTTTATGTGTGTGTATTGCCTGCATGTAGGTAAGTGCACCCGTCCAGCAATGCCCATGGAGGTCAGAAGAAGCTGTTGGATCCCCTGGGACTGGAGTTACAGACAGTTGTTAGCTGCCATGTGGGTGCTGGGATTCAAACCCAGGTTTTCTGCAAGAATAACCAGTGTTCTTAACCACTGAGCCATCTCTGTAGCCCCGAAGCTTTAAAGTTTTATTTATTTTATTTATATGTGTTTGTGAGGGGGTGTGTGGGTGTATGACAGTGTCTGTAGAGGCTAGAAGAGAGTGTTAGATCCTCTGGAGCTGGAGTTACAAGTGGTTGCAAGCCACCTGATGACATGGTACGTAAGTCCTCTGGAAGAGTACCAAGCACTCTTAACTGCTGAGCCATCTCTTCAGCGCTGCCCCACTTTATTTTTTGAGACAGGATCCTTCACGGAACCTGCTCCAGGGATCTGCTAGTGCTAAGATTATAAATGCACACCAGTGTGCCTGGCTTTTTAAGCCGCTTCTAGGATCTGAACAAGGATCTCATGCTTACGCAGCCAGCACCTTACCAGCTGAGCCATCTCACAACCTCCTTTGGCAGAGACTCAGAGCAAGCACACTATATATAGCAGAGGTGGCCCTACTGGCCCTGAACAGGGTCTCTGGCTCCTGACCATTTAGGTAGCCACACAAGAGCTCCAGGGGCGGTCTGTCCTGGTGGCAGAGCTGGTCGTAGCACCCTAAGTCCTCACACTCAAAGGACAATTGAATGGTCACGATCAAGAGAAAGGTTCTCAAACCTCCTTACAGATGCCCTTTAGAAGGGTCCCAAACTGAACAGCCTTAGCCTTGGCTTTGTTCATTCTGATGTGCCCATAAGAGTCCTTCTTCTACATCAAAGTTCCTGTGACATCTCAACAAGTGGCTTTCCAAAAAGGTTCCTGGAACCAGGGGTATAGCTTAATTGGTAGACTGCCTGCCTAGCATGTATCAAGTCCTGGGTTTGAGTCCCAGAACTCATAAAACCTAAAGTGATGGTGCATGCCTGTAATCCCAGAACTTGGGAAGTAGAGACTGGAGGATCAGATGTACAGGGTCATCCTTAGCTACATAAGACACTGACTTGTCACATCCCCAGAAGGGCTGAGATGAAAGGACCAATGGCAGCAAGTGTCTTGGGTGGGATCTGCCCCTGGAAGGGCATCTCTCCTGAATGCATTGTGTGCAACCTAGCTCTGAGGCCAGCAGTTCAGTGTGATGGAACCAAGATTAGAGATGTCCAGAGAAGCTCCACTAGTTACAACAGAATGCACAGCACACATGTGAGGAAGGTGGAACCCACCCATAGTAAGGATGAGCAGTGCACATGGGGGACCCTATAGGCCACTGACAGAGGGCCACATATACAATGAGTCTACCTATATAAGGTTCCAAGCCAAACAAAGTAACTGGTACACCTTGTGGTCAGCCACTTGTCTCAGGTCGCAGCAGTAGCTGGTGGCCAGGATGGACCCCTGGCCTTCTCAGATGGGACTCTCAGTAGGGACTTGGAGTGGTTGCTCAGTCTATCAGAGCAGACCTTCTTGGTAATGTAGGCTTGGACAGGGAAGAGGAAGGAATCTCAAATGACACACCAACTTTGTGCCAGACTCTCCTTTGGGGGATGAGAGCCTTGACCACAAGAGTCAGCAGCATTGGAATCCCTGACCCCAGGCTCAGCCTTGGGAGGAAAGAGAAATATCATGGGCCAGAAAGGGACCAACACACCTATCCCTCCCATTTGAGGACTGAGATCTTCCTGGTGCCTCTGAATTCAAAGCCCCATCAAGGACTGCCCAGAGGTCTAGGAGGTACCCTCAGAGCCTCAGGCCTGGCCAGTCAGGGTCAGGATCAGAGTCAGGTTTAGGGTTGTGACCCTCGCTGAAACAATAGCACTTAGAAGAGGCTAGCTCTGGGGGGTTCTTAGAACCCTATTCCTGGCTCTCATCTCTGTTGCTGAAGCAGATGCCCTCAAAGATGTAGTCACCACTTACCCCCATTCATGGTCCCAGAACAAAAAGAAGACCCCTCACTGCCTCACATGGAATTTCTTTCCCTATCCCAGAGATGTTCTCAGGGGTGTCCTGGTGAACAGTGTCCAGGGCAGGAACTAGCCATCAGCCCTTGACCTTCAGTCCTCCACTCAACAGCATAGCCAGCTGGCTCAATAAAAGTACAGTCTCCCCAAGCAGCTGGCTACCTACCCTGCCTCCTCTGGCTAAGGTTCTATCTTCAGATGTGAAATGGAACCCTCTGGGGTTGACACTAACTAGGACAATCCCCACATACCCAACTGTGCTGGATAGCTTTGGTGTCAACTTGACACACCAGGGTTGGGGGAGCCTCAATTGGGGAATTGCCTTCATTGGACTGGCCTATGGCCATGTCCATGGGGCATCTTCTTGATTGTTGAGTGATGTGGGAGGGCCCAGCCCACTGTGGGTGGTGCCACCCCTGGGCAGGTGGCCTGTGTTGTATAAGAAAGTAGGCTGAGCAGGGGCCAGGGAACAAGCCAGTAAGCAGTGATCCTCCATGACCTGTGCTCCAGCTCCTGCCTCCAGGGTCCTGCCCTGAGTTCCTACCTTGGGCTCCCAGATGAACTGTGACCCAGGATATGTAAGCTAAATAAACCCTTTCCTCCCCAAGTTGGTAGTGGTCAGAGTGTTTTCTCACAGCAATGGAGAAACAAACTAAGATACCAACTAACATCCCATTATTCACCCATGGGATAAGGAGCACAGTTCCTTCCACACTGACCCCCCCAACCCAAGCCCCAGTACCCATCTGTACTTTGAGAGCAATGACACACCCACCCCAGAGGGATGCAAGACTCACACAGGCACATGCCTAAACATGCATGCACGCACACATAGCCAAGGATCACAGGCTCCGTGCTTTGCAGTCTGGGAGTCAGAGTGCAAGGCCCTGCTCAAGACTGGGCTATGCATCCTGGGCAAATGGCTTCATTTCCCTGAGCTCAGCAACCCCTTCCATGAAATGCACTTACAGCCGGCCATCACATGGGGCTGTTGTGAGAATTCAACAGTGATGTTTAAGCCAAGCTCAGGGAGAGCAGAGAAGGGAGGAATACTCCAAAGGGTGCAGGCTGCTGATAGAAGGGGAGAGGAGGAGGGGAGAAAAGAGGAGAAAACAGAGGGACAGGAGGGGAGGACACACCCTCAGGGGAGGGTCTGCTTGCCCGCTGTGGGGGGTGGTCACCAGCAGCACAGACAAGAGGCCACTGGCCAAGGCAACAGCTTCACTCGCAGCTCTTGTGCGGCTGCCTGGATGGAGTGGAGTTTGTCTGACAGCCCTGCAGCCCCCGCACCAATTACCAGCACTTAGTCACAGGTTTCTGCCCGTACTTCCTCTCAAGCAGCAGGAGAAAGAACAGCCTTGATGGGTCTAGCCTTTCCCACCCCCTCCAGCCTGTCTGACTGTAATGAGGGACACAGTAGGTACCAACCCAGCAAAGCCCAAGCCCATCGGACTCTGCTGGAAGGGAGGAAGCAGCGAAGTGGGGCCACATTTAGAATATGAAGGACAGAGCTTTGGCAAGCTGTTCCTTCAGATTGAGGAAGGAGCTGTGAAATGTTTTTGCACCGACCAGGTGTCCCATACCAGACCTGAATGTCACCAGTGCAGCCCCTACCAGACTCTTAGGAAAGGCGGGGTGTGTCAGAGTATATGACAGGTCAAGCTGAAGCATAAGACGCTTAGATCTGCACAATCAATTCTGTGAGGCAGGAGCCCAGTCTGGGGAGCTGTGTGGCTCTGCCTCAGGTCTCTTGTCAGTTCAAGGTGATACTAACCAGGGCTGAGTCTCAGTCGTCTGCTTGGCGGGACTCTAGGGGGCATGCTCAGGCCTTTTAGCCATCTAGTTACTGCAGGCCAGAAGCCTGGCTGTGTTGGTGGCTCATTCTCATGCCACGGGACCATCTGGGCTCCTCCTGGCATGGTGGTCCCTGAAGGCTAATGTCTCAGGGTGTGTTCAAAGCTAAGAGTCTGACCAGCAAGCACCCTTTCTCAAAGGCTGCAGAGGAGGGGTTGCTCCAGCATGCTGGACTCAACCTCCAGAGAAAGCAAGTGCCAGGGGGCTGGACGTTGGGGTCCGTGGCCACTCTAAGATTCCAAGTTCTGCCCTGACTTGGAAATTCCTCATCCCAGGCCTGGAGTCATGTCCTTGCTGAATGAGCAAGAGAAAGGGTCCAACTTGAGTGGGGAGATGGTAAAGATTTAGGGACACATTCTGGCTGCCCCGTCATGAGGTTCCCGCCCCCCTCCTGCAAGCCATCTGGAATCCAATTTCAGATGACACACACTTTAACAAAGATGTGAAAACAGGATGTTTGCAGAGCAGGGCATCCTGGTCCTACCATCACCAGCTGTGTGACCCAGGCAAGTCTCTCCACTGATCTGAGTCTTGATTTCCTTGTCTGAAGTAGGGGCCTGGGACACCCTTTTGGACCAGGGTCCTCCGATGTGTGAAAAGAAACTCAGCTCTTGTCTGCTTTGTGGTCTGAGAGCAGCTGCTTCTCTGAGTGGCACAGCTTTGGGAAGGGCTGTCCCTTCCTCACCCTCTGGCCTGCAGGTATCCTCAGCCTGCTCTTCTGTGCCTCTATATACACAGACCCATCCCCCATCCCCTGCCAGCTGCTTCTGGGATCCCAGGCCCCTTGACCTCATCAGAGAAGAGCCCAGGCAGGACTGTCAGGAACTGTGTGGCTCTCCCTCTGTGGGGACTGGGTCAGACCTAGGTGACACTTGCCCATCTAGTTTGGGTCCATGATCTCCCATTCTGTTGGGGCCCTTCTGCCCCAGATGTCTACTGATGGTAGTTTTTCTCATGTCCCATCTGTCCTCAAAGAGACCAACATCCCGTCAACCCTTCCTTGAATCCACTGGCCCTTCCGGAATCATGGCCAGGTTACCATGGTGATACCCATTATCCAGGCTTAACAGGAGATGAATCAGGAACTAAAAATAGCCCCAGAGTGGATAGATAGATTGAAAGGTGGGTGGGCCTGAATCAGGGTTGGGACAATTTGTTTTTCTCAGGTAAGATAATTGAAAGGAAATCTCAATTAGAAATCCACCCCTACTCAGACAGGTAAAAAAGCTGCTTTCTTCTCACTGCAGAGGTCCATCCTGTTTCTGCATGCAAGCCGAAGTCACTCATGGCCACTCGTCCCTATCGACAGTTCAGCAAATATTGGCTGAAGGGCATGAGGGGACAGACCCACAATCCTTACTGGTGTGGGTGACCCAGTGAGCCTGGTTCTGGGGACGGCCACACCAGGTTCCCTGAACCAAGAAAAGCACAGAGCTGCTGTGAGGATGAAGGGTACTTTATTACACTCACAGCCCCTCTCACAGACTCAGATACAAGCCTCCAAATGGAGTAGAGAGGTGGAGTGCCACCAGCCAGGACAAGGAACCTACGGAGCTGAGGTGCCCAGGCCTGGTGTCCCCAGGGTCTGGGGTGCCGCCCTCCCGCAAAGGATCAGATGATGAGAATCCCCAGTCCCACCACCCCTTCACCTAGGGAGGCCTCCCTGGATGAGCTGCCAGGTGCCCTCCTGTTCTCTCAGCATGTCCTGCTTCATACATGTTGGGTGCAGGGAAGTCCGAGCATCAGGGAGCAGCTTCTGTGGGACACCTCAGGATGCCTGATTTCTTCATCTCTCATCATGAGTACCAGGTCACTGACCCAGGCCAGCAGGACCCAGGAGGAGGATTGGGGCCTAGGCTGGCAGATAAGCAGTTGAGGGGTCCCTGGGGACTCAGGAGGTGCTGGGCATGGACACACTCCTCACATCCCTCTTGCCTGCCATCCTCATGGTGCTGAACTGGGACCTGCCTCTCCACTGTGGGCTCCAAGGCTGCGTGGAGGCAATTCCTTGTGGCTGTAGTACTCAACCACCTGCTTGGGCACCTCAGCCAGCACGCACTTGGCCAGTGCCGCAGGGGACGCCTGGGTTCAGGGACAACATGATTATGGCTGAGGACCTTCCAGACCATCATTCCCTTATCTGGGTCACAGCCCTAGGGTTCAAATCAGCTTAAGGGACTTCCACGATGACATATGACCTGGTGGTCAGCTGAGCTTCTGCTGAGGACACAGACTTAACAAAACCACCATGCATGCCCCTGGGCAGTCCAATCAATAACTGATAGAGATGCCCATGCTGCCCCCACTGCTTCTGTGTTGAGGTCCCCACCCATCCCTTCCATCTTCCCCAGCACAGCATGAAATGGCAGGAGCTGAAGGTTTCGCTTAGGAGCTATTCCCAGGGGCTGCTCTTCTGCTGTATACAAGCAGGGACAGACCATGTCCTAAGCAGGGAATCCACTGGTGCACTGAGTAGTGGGGTCCACCCCCAGGGATCCCTCAATCCCATCCTCCTCTAGGCACTCACATTTTTGAGCTCACGGAAGGGCACAAACTGAACGATGTCACGGAGTGCTGGCTCGCCCCGTGGGGAACGCAGGACTCCATCATCCCCATCTAGGATCTGCATATCTGTGAAGTCGGCATTGCCCACCCCAACGATGATGACGGACATGGGCAGGTGTGAAGCACGCACGATGGCCTCCCGGGTATCCGACATGTCGGTCACCACACCATCCGTGAGAATCAGTAGTATGTAGTATTTCTGAAGGCATAGGGAAGGAGTATGGGTGCCAGCCTCTGGGGCTCCCAAAGCTGCATATACTTATACATATATAAATATATACATATATTTCACCCAGCTGAAACCCCCACCTCTGCCTAGAGGAGCCCTAGCTGTAGGCAGCTCAGTAGTGCCCAGGCTTTTCTATAATTGTTTTTGCTGGGCTGGGGAGATGGCTCAGTGGTTAAGAGCACTGGCTGCTCTTGTGGAGGACCCGGGTTTGATTCCCAGCATTCACTTGACAGCTAACAACCATCTGTAACCCCAATTCCAGGGGATCTGATGCCCTCTTCTGGCCTCTATGGGTATTGCTTGACGCAGGTACACTTACACACATACAGTCAATACACTCATAAACATAATACAATAAAATAGGATCTGGAGCAATGGCTCAGCAGTTAAGAGCACTGGCTACTCTTGCAGAGGACCTGGGTTCGATTCCCAGCAACCACATGGTGGCTAACAACCATCCACAACTCCAGTTCCAGGGGAATCCAAATCTGCCTTCTGACTCTGTGAGCACTGCATGACACGGGTACACTTACCACACATGGGCAATATACTCATGCACATAAAAAAATAAAAATAAGCCGGGTGTGGTGGCGCATGCCTTTAATCCCAGCACTCAGGAGGCAGGCAGGTGGATCTTTGTGAGTTCAAGGCCAGCCTGGTCTACATAGTGAGTTCAGGTCAGCTGGGACTACAGGAGACCCTGTCTCAAAAAGACTAAATAAATAAATAAATAAATAAATAAATAAATAAAATAAATACTCAATTTCCATTGTCAAGAACACAAAAACTACACAATAGTTTTCTTAAAACCTAGGACAACTGAAGAAATAAAAGAAGTCAGGTGCAGCGGTTCACACCTATAATTCCAGCACTTGGGAGGTTGAGGCTGGAACACTGCTGCAAATTCAAGACTAGCCTGGACTCGATAGTGAGTTCCAGGCCAGTCAGGGCTATAGAGTGAGACCCTGTCTCAAAAATCTAAAACCCAAGAGCTGGAGAAATGACTCATCAGTTAAGAGCACTTGCTGTTCTCACAGAGAACTGAAGTTTGGGTCCCAACACCCACATCAGGCCACTCACAACTGCCTTTAACTCTAGTTCCAAGGGATCCAACACCCTCTTTTGGCCTCCATGGTTCTGCACACACTTGCACACACATATAAGCACATACATGTACACATAAATAAAAATGTTTTCAAAAATTAAATCTAAACAAAACTTTAAATGAAATTCATGTGTTTACCTACTAAGCAAAAAGTCTCAGTTCAATGACCAGCACGAAAATAAAAATAAATTTCCTGAAGTTGATGCTTATACTGTGGTTCTAATATAAGCAAGTGTCCTTGTTTCAGTGCTGATGTCTGAGTGGCAAAGGGTCAGAGCTGCAACCTGCTCTGAAAGAATTTACCCAAACAGCCAGCTGTGGTGGCAAACACCTGCAATCCCAGCGCTCAGGAGGCAGAGGCAAGAGGATTGCTGCGTTTGAGGCCAGCCTGGTCTTACAGTGAGTTTCAAGACAGCCAGAGCTGCATAGCAAGACTCTCAATCAACAAACAAAATAAAACTGGCTGCAGTTTCAGCACTAAGGCTGAGGCAGAAGGATTGCGACTTTTAAGTCAGCCTGGTTGCACGACAGGACTCAGTCTCCCTCCCTCCCTCCCTCCCTCTCTCCCTCCCTCCCTCTCTCCCCCTCCCCTCTCCTCTCTCTCCTCTCTCCTCTCTTGCTCGCTCTTGCTTTCACTTTCACTTTCTTGCTCTCTCCTCTGTCTCCCCCAACACACACACACACCACACACACATACACATACACACACATACACACACAAACGCATACACCACACACACACATACACACACATACACACATACACATACACCACACAAAAAAAAAAAACACACATACACATACACACACATATACACCACACACACATACACATACACCACACACACATACACATACACATGCACACACATATACATACATACCACACACACACATACAAACACCACACATACCACACACACCACACACATACACACACCACACACACACAACACACACACATACACACACCACACATACACACCACACACAACACAACACACACACCATACACCCACACACCACACACCACACACATACACACACATACACACCACACACACATACACACACACCACACATACACAGACCACACACACCACACACATACACACACACACACCACACATACACCATACACACACATATATACACACACACACATACACCACACACACACATCACCACACACACACCACACACACATACACACACACCACACACACACATACACATACCACACACACACATACACACACCACACACACCACCACCACACACACCACACACATACACATATACCACACACACATACACATACACACACATACACATACACACACCACACACACATAAACACACACCACACACACACACACACCACACACACCACACACACATACACACACACATACACACACACAACACACACACACCATACACACCGCACACACATACACACACCACACACACCACACACACATACACATACTCATATACAAAACACACACACCACACACACACCCTATATGTGTGAGTATAACTGAAATTTTAAAAGCACCATTCAGGACTGGAGAGATGGCTCCAGGCTGGAGAGCATGTGCTGCTCTTCCCAGGTCTGAAGCTCAGTTCCCAGCACCCACATCAGGCAGCTCACAACTGCCTATAACTCCAACTCCAGGAGATCTGACTGACGTCCTCTTCTGGCCTCCACAGACACTGCATTCATGCTCACAGATACACACACATACATATAATAAATGAATAAAAATTAAAAGCGCTATTGAATATTTAACATGGTACTTTGTATAAGTTAAAATACTTATGCACAGAGTTTCCCTGTGAAGTAAGGATAAAAGGGCTGAACTCAGGCCAGGCATGGTGGCGCACGCCTTTAGTCCCAGCACTCGGGAGGCGGAGGCAGGTGGATCTCTGTGAGTTCAAGGCCAGGCTGGTCTACATAGTGAGTTCCAGGCCAGCTGGTGCCACAGGCCTACAGGGAGACCCTGTCTCGAAAAAAAGGGGCTGAACTTGAGGCATTAGCACAACATGTGAACGTCTTCAAGACAAGACTCTGAAATGGACACTTTAAAAAGGTTCCAATCACAAATTTTCAATTATGTATATTTTTATTTATTTATTTTTGTCTTTTTGAAGCAGGGTCTCCCTGTAGCCCCAGCTGTCCTGGAACTCACTATGTAGACCAGGCTGGCCTCGAACTCACAAAGATCCTCCTGCCTCTGCCTCCCAAGTGCTGGGATTAAAGGTGTGCGCCACCACGCCTGGCTCTGGTCACTTTTAAATATGTTTTTTCAAAATGAAAAGTTAAAGAAAGCAGTGGGATAGCTGGGTCCAAGTATCACATGCAGGGCTACAGACAGCAGATGCAATCCTGAGGGCAGTGCTGTGCACGTTAAGGATGTATGCGAACAAAATGCCATGTGTGTACAATGAAAACAGACATGGGACACCAGCTGGTGCAGAGGGGCCGGAAGCAGGAAGACTGAGGTAAACCAATGTCTGTCATGGACAGCTGAGGGCTGACCTTGAAGCCATCAATTCAACCCTCTGCCCTAGACAAAAACTGCCCGCCTGGAGCTTTGAGGGAGTTGCTGCTGACAAACTAAGCTCTCCCTCCCCATCTCCCTCCATCCTGCCTGACAGCCTTTGCACTGCACTGTGCCAAGATAACTGCTTCCCTGGTTCTGAGCCACCACCACACACACACACACACACACACACACACACACACCACAGAGTTAACTGATATCACAGATACATGTGCCCAGTCCCTGCCCCAGTCACCTACAGAGGCCTCCTGGGTGCGCTCCTCGGCTGCTGCCATGCCCGCCACCTTGGAGATAATGGGTGCCACGTTGGTAGGGCCATAGAGTTGGACCTTAGGCAGGCAGTTCTGGTAAGCCTCCACCACACCCTGGATTCCTGTGGGGGATAAGGGGTTAGCCTGGCCCGATGTACCCCTATGCCAAGCCCACCACCAGCTCCTACCTTCACACTCATCGTCCTCAGGATTGAAGTTGATGGCAAAGTCATGGGACACCTGGGTGAAGACAAGAGTCAGCCTGGACCCTCCTACAACCCCTACAGTTCCCATTTACTGGGAGAAGTCCCTATGTAGCTTTTAGGGCCCCATGTGGAAAGACCTCCATGGAAAGGAAGCTAAGAGGGAGGCAGACAGACAAGAGACTCATGCTGGGCCATTGCTTCAGCACCTGGATCCCGTAGCTGCAGCGTCCAAGGTAAGTTAATAAATCCCCTCTCCCACTGCCATTGTTTCTATTTAAGTCAGTTGAATTGTTGCTTAATCTTCCTGATAGGACCATGGAGCCTACCTGCAGCTCCACCTCTTGGGAAGTCTAAAATCACCTCCCCATCATGCCAACAAGGAATGGTGGCAACCAGGGTTCCTATACCCAGGACACCCCCACCTGGGCAGGTGAAGACACAAGAAGCCCAGGCAGATGGGAGGGAGCAGGGATAGGGCCCCAGCCCATAGGCCCCCCTACCTCATACTTGGGAGGGATCCGGGCTCCAAACCCCAAAGCAGAAAACCTCTTGTCACTGGAAGAAAGGCAGACCTGATGGCTCCAGAAACCTGACCTCCTCACAGGCAAGTCAGGCCAAGCACTGGAGCCAGAAGACCTGGGCATTGCTAACTCAGGCATAGGAATCACAGCTGTGCTTCATGGGGGAAACTGAGGCACTGGACTGAGCAAATAGCCATGAACACAGGCAGAAAGGGGCAGCTTTGACAGGGGAAGGAGGAGAGCTGCTCCCTGGTCTGCCCTCCAGGCCTGCTTGCGAGCTCCTGTCTTGAAGTTGTGTCTCCTGCAGGAAACTCACCTTGCTCATGTGTAGTCCTTTGCCCTCCCCACTAAGGGAGCGCTGCCTGAGTAGGGGTTCTGAGTAAGGCTCTGTCCATGGTGAGGAGCTCAGAGTCCAGACCACCTGGGTTTGCACTCAGCCCCTGCCCAGCCGGTTACCCCAACCTCCATGACTGAGTTTGTGCTCTATGAAACAGTTTCCAGTCAATCTCCAGCTTTGTTTCAGCGGTGAAGGAGTGTGTGGCCATGCCACGGGCACAGCACATCGCCCCAGGTCTCCTGTAAGTTTTGGACCCACTGCTGGGGTCAGCTAAGCTGGGTGTCTGGTGGGCGCACACTGAGTGCCCCCACTGGACCACTGTGAAGGTGTTCCCACCCTTGCATGAGCAGGCCTCTCTGGTACACCATATGCCCATCATGGTGCCACTTCAAGGGGCCCTCCAGCCCAACCTGAGCAAGGGAATGGGTGAGGGCACACCTGTCATAATCCTGGCAGACCTCGCCCACTGCCACCAGTGCCCTCAGGTACTCGTTGGGCTGGTAAGGGTTGATGTGGTGCAGGGAGCAGCTGTTTCTTGGGTCCCCGTTGGAGGCTGTGAAGTCAATGGCCACCTGCAAAGACCAAGATGATGAGCTGTGCTGCATACCTGTACTCCCCACTGGCCAGGCAAAGGGGCCCCAAGACCTACTTGAGGTCAGGACCTGGCATGGGGGGGCAAGGGCTGCCACTCAAAGATGTTCGGTCTTCCCAGCTTCAGGAGGTCTGGCTGCTTACCACTCCCTGAGAGAAGGGGACTACCCTGAAAACCCTAAGCCCAGCCACCCCTGGACTCCAGGATGATGCCTGCCCTGTCCTCTAGGAGAATCTCTGAGCTGACCTCCCTCAGAGCAACATGGCCCATGGGAACTCAGCTCATCTCTCCTCAGCTGCTACAGTCTTCCCTGGCCTGATCTCCTCTGTGCCTCCCACCTCACCAGCCTCAGGGGCACCCTGACTGTGGCTCCATTTACCAGGCCAGCACAGCTGTGCAGGAACACAGGCAGCAGAGTCTGTAGTACCCGCCCCTGGGCCTTCTGTCCTCCCTCCTGCTGCCTGTGCTCCTGCCCAAGGCCATGCCAGCTGGTCCCTGCAGCCTCTGAGAGCAAAGTGCTGACTCCTGTTTTCTTCTTTTAGGTTTTTCTTCGGTCACTATAATTTTGTAGAAGGTAAGCCCTGGAGGGTCCCTTGGGAGGGTAGTTGTGGGCTGGTCCTGAACTCCTGAGTCCTGTTCCTTATCTCCACACTAGGCAGGACACCAGGGAGACACGGGCGAAGAAATGGTGCCTAGGGAGACTGCCACTCTCTGCACACAGGCTGGGGCCCTGGAGCCTGACAGGGGTCCCGTCCAGCTGGCTGGGAACAGCATGGAGGGAAGGTTCAGTGGACTCACAGTGCAGTGGATCTGGCAGCCACCCATGATGTAGTCCAGGAATGAGTGGACCCTGTGGAGCTTCCAGGCAATGGCATCAGCAAAGCTGCCCAGGAACCCCCACCCGACCCAGGGAAGTAGGCCTGTGGCGACGTGGGGAGGGAGCCTGTTGGAATTTGGGGGACATGCCCTCCCCTGGGCACGCAGTTTTCCCATCCCTCCTCCCTCACCTTTCCCCAGTCTCTCAGTCCCTACAATGAGGCCCACCAAACCTCGGAACAGTACCTTTGAGAATCATCTGACGACAGAGAGAAACCAATCCCACCAGCCCATCTCCCTGGGAGCTTCAGGCAGGACCAAGACTCACCTTCAAATCTGCCAGGATCACCACCCCGGAGTTCTTGTAATTACGCTTCTTCTGTTTGTACTTGGCATTCACACAGTCCCACTGGGCCTGAGACAGGGAGAGGCAGAAACTCCACCCAGACTAGCAGTGCCCAGGGCCCTCCCACAGGGGGCCAGGAGACCCTGGAAGTCCTATCCCTTCTGGTGACCACATATTCCACAAGACTGTCCTCAACAGTGAGAGCAAGGCCCATGCTGCCCATGGGGGTCAGAAATCGTCACCATAGAGACATGCCCATCCCACCCCACAGGGGAGCAGCCAGGGGCTTGTAGAGCGGATGGGAGCTGTGTGAGAATGGGCAAGGGAGGGGTCCAGGTTAGATCCTACACACAGTGTGCCCTTGTTACCCTGGGAGGTCAGTCACCTCCTGATCCTATAGATCTCTGGGGGACAACAGAGCCCAGAGGAGCAGGAAGGAACCCGTGGCAGCTCTCACCCAGCTACAGAAGGCTGGGCAGGTCCAGGAAGGGTGCTGCCCCCCGACACAACAGGTGCACACGCTTGCTCATATGCTCGCTGACCTACAAGGCCCAGCTCTGGCCACCTGGTGTCTCTTTGTCACCATCATGCCTGCTCTGGGGTGGGATAACTAGTCTCCCAGAGACCCACCAGGTCAGGTCAGAACCTGAAGGGGAGGACTGAGGAGGGCTGGAGACTCACCTGCTCCTCCTCAAAGGCCTTTTGCATGTCTGCGAAGGTGGTGGAGAACTCGCCGATGAAGTCATGTTTTCCTCGGGAGTCATAGTCCCAGACCAGGCACTGGGGAGCCCAGGCCCTTCAGATGGCTGCCCCTTGGGGGACCTGGGTCCTTCCAACTCTGGCCAGGCTGCCCCTTGTCACTGTCCTCAAACCCTCCCTGTCCACAAATCCTAACTCCACGGTTCTCAGTGAGGTCTGGAGGGTCTGGATACTTGTCTGTGGGCCCTGGCACTGCCTCCACATGTATGCCTCTACTCCCCCACCCACTGTGACCCTTTCTCTGGCCCTGACCTCATCCCCAGTCTTGGTCCCACACTCAGCTCTGGTCCTACCCCGTTTTGTCCACACCTTTAGAGGCCGCGTCTCCTCACAGCTGCACAGTGAATTCAGCGATACCTTGAATGGCTCCCACACTGGGTTAAGGTTGTTCTTTACCACCTGTGGTCCAGGAAGGGCTAACTCAGGTGGGAGCCCTAACAGTCAGTTCCTGGGAAGCCTGGGCATCCTTGAGCCACAGATTCTTTAGGTAAAGTACAGGGCTCTCAGAACCCTCAGCTAAGAGCTGAAGGGGTAGTGTCATCAACGTAGGAGCCTGCATCCCACCCAATGGAGACTAATCAGGAAATTAGGCCTATGTCAGGCTCCAGGCAGGACTGAGTAGAGTCTAGAGACCGCCCCAACTTCCAAAACCCACCCCATCCCACCCTACCTACCGCTGTACCCCCATCACCCACCCCACCCACAGTCCCTGGGAACCACCTCATAGCTTCTGCCTCACTTCAGTAACCTGGGCTATTTTTCTCCTTAAATATAGTTTTTTCACTCAAATTAATTTGTCTCAAAGGAAACTTTCTCCCCTCTGTACCTAAAATCCGCTTCCCTGCAGGAGGAAGCAGGTTTTCCTAAAAATAACAATGGTGACCACAAAGCTGTCATGCTAAATTCTGGCAGCGGACAGAATCCAGCTCACCAAGCTGCCCCATATGTCAAAAGTGGGGTGGGTTGGCGGGCTCGAGCAGGCAGAGAGACCCTCACCTCCGTCCTGTACACCAGTTGCTCACTCCCATCGTTGTTGACCCGGTACAGCTCCAGGAAGGGGTCTGACTTGCTAAAGAGGTCCTGGGGCAGCAGAAGTTGTGCTGTCAGAGGAGCTGTGCACTTGAGGGTGCTCCATCCACCATAGCTGGCTGCTTCAGCCCCTCCTCACAGCCTCAATGTCCCCAGTAACAAAGTAAGTTGTAAACTTAGTTGCATGGTTCCCTGAGACCATGCAGATTGATAAGGCCTCAGCATTCGGAGTGTTCACCAGCCTCCAATGTGTCCATGGCTATTCCTGGCCTCTCCCCAGATATGTCTCCACAAGCCTTGCTCTGCTGTTCCCCTCTCCTGCTGCCTGGCTTGTCCTGGCTTAAATATCTCAAGGGAGATACCTGTTCAGTCCTCAGTTCATGAGAGGAGCCAACAAACCAGGTTCAGACTCGGTTCAATATGGTGACTTTGCTGGCCTCTCTGGGCCTGTCTCCCTATCACTTAATGGGAAACCAGTGATCCTGCCAGAGGGAGCTTGAGGATCTTGTCAAGATGCAAGATAATGCTCTTTACATATACAGCAGAAAGTGTGTGTCTGTGACTCTGAGTCTGTGGGAGGGAGGGTGTCTGAGTGTGTCTGTGTCTAGGGGTGTCTGAGTATGTATGTGGTTCTGAGTATATGTGTGTGGAGATCTGAGTCTCTGTCTCTCTCTCTCTCTGTCTCTCTGTCTCTCTCTCTCTCTCTCTCTCTCTCTCTCTCTCTCTCTCTCTCTCTGCCTGTGTGTGCCTGGGAGGGTGATTGGGGTGATGGTGATGCCAGTGAGGATGACTGTGAAATGATAACAATGAAGTTGAATGTGCATTGGACCAGGAGTGACAGCACCATGCTAAGGGCTTTATGTCATGTATCTCCCAACGGTAGAGAGGCCAGCACTTGGCAGGGACTGGGTTCTCATTCGGAGCTAACCTGTGGAGGTGGGACTGTGGAGTCTGATGTGCAGTGGGCCCAGACTCACCTTGTCATCCAGTTTTCTGGCCTGGAAGGAGAGTTCCACGTAGCCATTGTTCCCAGAGATGTCCTCCGCTATCACCTGTGTGAGCCACATAGGACCCATGGGCTCTAGCCTTTGATCCTACCCTCCTGCCTAGGCCAGCCCTGGCCCAGATGTGGCTCTGGTCTCTCATAGCAGCTGTTCAGCTACAGGCTGTCAGAAGCCTCCCTGCTCACCTCCTCCCATGACACCCAAGAGCCATGTGAGGAAGGGAAAGAGAACTTAGCCTTGGGCCTCACCGTGATAGTGGACTTGCCGGCATTCCTACCGAATCTCAATAGCAGTGGGCGCGTCATTTTCTTCTGGGCCACAATCTGGAAGTCAGGAAAGTCAGGCAGAGATGAGGGAGGCAGGGACATGCCTCAACCCTCCTAGAGCCTTACTTCTGCTCTAAACCATCCCCTGCCCTCCAGCTCTCCTCCTGCTGTTGTCAAAATGTGGCTACCTGATATCTCTCTGTGCCATCTCTCAATTCTACCACCTCCTGGGAGGCCTGCCCAAGCTGGGGTACACATTCCACCAAGCTGGCAGGGCAGCAAAAGCAGGTTCACATGTTAGGATGTCAGCCTTCAGCCAGGGCCTCACTGTGTGGCTGGCCTAATTTCATGCCTCAGCTTTGGGGTGAGAATGCTTATACGAGTGGCTGGTTGACTATCTCTGAGCTCCACCCTGGATCCCACTGTCCCCAAATCTGGGCCGTCCTGGGGTGACAGAAGGGCCTTCTGCACAGTTGCCTGCTTAGTGAGGACCATCCTGACATGGGCCTGGATGCTCAGCCCTTGGGGAGCTTATCTTCCAGTATGGGCTTCTCCTCCTCACCACCCCCATTGGGGATATTAGCTACTAACAGTTTGAAGGGTTTACTTTATATAGGCCCACACAGCATGTCACCTGTCCAACAGAGAGTAGGGTCTAAGGGGCAGGGTTGAGTAAATCCTCTAAACCCTCTTGGGCTCATGCCCTGGTCTGAATAATAGCACTTCACACATCCCATGAGTTGTTAGTGGCTCTTTAAGTGTGAGGAACCAGGATGGTCCTATTCACAGGGTAGCTATCACCTTGACACCTCACATCTGTTACTGGTTGGTAGACACCAGTGGGTCATAGTAAAGAGTGCTAAAGGCTGTGGCACCTGACAAGTTGGCCAAGATGGCTGCATAGTGGATAGTCCACAAAGATGTGTGAAGGTACAAGATCAAGATCTGTATGTACATGTGTCTATGTATGTTTATGTATGTTCATGCACCTGTAGTACATGTATGCGTATATATGAAGAAGTTCGTGGCTGTGTCCACATGTGCCCATGCATGTGCCTTCTTTTGCAGGTGCCTGGGTAGAATTGTGCCCTGTCAAATCTCAGTCCTTGCTCTATAAGTGGAGCTGGAAAAAGGATCTAAAGAGAATGAGCTCTGATCAGGCAGCCCTGGGGATGAGTCACACATGATGCTGGTGGGGAGAATTGGACACTCAGACCATGCCCAATGTGATCCATGTACAGGAAACTCAAGAACAGACGCAGCCAGGGGCAGGAAAGGAGGCCTGAGGGAATGGAAACGGTCATCTGGTCAGGAGACAGTCATGTAAACATGTCCATCGCAGAGCCACAGTCTGCATTTTGTTGCATGTAAACTATCTCTTACTGGAAAGGAAGTCCTGTGGCAAGTTGAGAAGGATGTAGCCCACCACCCACCCAGGACCTGAACAGTAAAGTGTTTGTTGTGTGGGCATCAAAAGAGAGAAGTAGAGGACAGTGGCTCAGGGATGCCAGCAGTGTCCTTCAGGCAGGACAGCCCCATGCAGCAGCCTGCCTGCAGCAGGCAATACAGAGACCTGTCCCTCTCCACTGTGTATGGAATGGAACCCAAGACCTCAAACGCGCAAGACCAACACTGCCACGGAGCTGTGCATCAAGCTTGTGGAAACTGTGATGTGCTGAAGTAGAAGGGCTCATAGAAGAGAAAAGGCAAGCTTCAGAACAGTGTGTGTGTGTGTGTGTGTAGTTTTTATTTTATTTTTATTTTATGTGTATGAGTATTTTGCTTGCATGTATGTAAATGCATCATTTATGTGCAGTGCTTGCAGAAGCCAGAAGAGGGCATAGGATCCCCTGGAACTAGAGTTAAGGACGGTTGTTATCTGCCATGTGGGTGCTGGGAACTGAACCCAGGTCCTCTGGAAGAACAGTAAGTTCTCTTAACCACTAAGCCATCTCTCCAACCCCATGTGTGTGATTTTTGAGATAAGATCTTACTGTGTCACCCAGGCTGATATGGAACTAGTGGCAGTCCTACTGAGTGCTCAGATTAAAGGCATCTATCATTATGGGTATGGTTTTCTTTTTCCTTCTTCTGTTGTTTGGGTTTTTCTTGTTTTTCTTCTTTAAGAGTTATTTTATTTTAAATTATGTGTATATGTAAGGGTATGTGCACATGAATGCAGGTACCCTCAGAGGCCAGAAGAGTGTTAGATCCCCTGGAGCTTGAGTTACAGACAATTGCGAGCCACCTGATGCAGTGTTGGGAACTAAACAGGGGTCCTCTGCTTTAGTGCTTTTAATCACTGAGCCATCTCTCCAGCCTTTTTCTTATTTTGAAACAGGTCTCATGTAGCACAGGCTGGCCTCAAATTTGATATGCTCCTTGAACTCCTCACCTTCCTGCCTTCAACTCCCAAATTCTGGGATTACAGGCATGTATCAGCATGTCTGACTTGTGTGTGTAGGTGTGTTGCATGTGTGTGGTGTGTGGTGTATGTGCATGTGTTGGGGTGCGTGCATGCCTTTGTGTACATGAGGCTGTCAGGTGTCCTCCTCTCACGCTCTACCCTATTACCTTAAGACAGGATCTCTCACTGAACCTGGAGCTAGGCTGGTGACCTCCAAGATCCAGCAATCCTCCTGTCTCCATCCCCCACAGCTTGTGGGTACTAGAGATTTGAACTCAGGTCCTCATGTTTGTGCAGCAACTGCTCTTATCTGATGAGTCATCTCTCCAGGCCCCTTCCCTCTTTTCTGGAGACAGGGACTTGTGTAGCCTAAACTGGCCTCAAGCTCACTATGTGGCTAAGGATGACTTTGAATTTCTGATTTGACTATCTCTACCTCTTTATAATGACGCTGGGGCATGAAACCCAAGGCTTCATAGGTGCTAGACAAGCACTTTACCAACTAAATTACTAGCTATTTTGTATTTGGGGCAGCAGTTGGAGGAAGGCATGCTAGAAAATACCTATTGGAAACATTAGAATATATAACCCAGTTCAAAATCATATTACAACCAGGTATGGCCAGGTATGGTGGCACATATCTTGGATTCCAGTACTTGAGAGACAGAGGCAGGCAGATCTCTGTGATTTGGAGGCTATCCTGGTCTGAACAGAACTAGTGGCAGTCCTCCTGAGTGCTCAGATTAAAGGCGTCTATCATTATGGGTATGGTTTTCTTTTCTGTTTCCCACATGACAAGCACTTTACTGCCTGTGCTATATGAGACCCTGTCTCAAAAAAAAAGAAAGAAAGGAAAGAAAGAAAGAAAGAAAGAAAGAAAGAAAGAAAGAAAGAAAGAAAGAAGGAAAGAAAGAAAGAAAGAAAGAAAGAAAGAAAG